TATTATCCCATCCCAATCCCTTCCCTTCCCTTCCCTTCCCTTCCCTTCCCTTCCCTTCCCTTCCCTTCCCTTCCCTTCCCTTCCCTTCGGGAGTTGGTGGAGGCTGGAAGCATTTGTGTGATCTGTCCTGCCTTCTGCCACCACGGGGATGCCCAGAGCTGGGGCTTTTCCCGGGACAGCTGCTCCACATTCCCTTGTGCTCCCATGGCACCCAGCTGCCCAGAGAAGCAGCGGTGAGGGGTGGGATGGCAGGGCAGGAGGGAATGGTTTTGGGCAGGCAGGCATCACTCCATCTCTCCTCTTCCCCCAGGAACATGACATCGAGACCCCCTATGGGCTGCTGCATGTGGTCATCCGGGGCTCGCCCAAGGGGAATCGCCTGGCCATCCTGACGTACCATGATGTGGGCCTCAACCGTGAGTGCTGGTCCCCGGGCTGTGGGGCGCAAGGGCGGGCAGGAGCGAGCCTGGGGCTGCACGAGGTGCCGGGACCTCAGCCAAAGCCCCTGGCTCAGCTCCTTTGCCTACTCCCATGGAGGGTCCCCAGGCTGCGTTGGGTCTCCCCAGGCATCTGAAAGCACCAGGAGGGTTTGGATGCTGAGCCGAATGCGGAGTCCGGGCCAGGGGTCCCTGCTGCCCACCTGTTGGTATTCAGAGCACGGACCCGGCTGGCAGCAGGGCGTAGTGGGGGCCGAAAGACGGGTAACAGCAGGGAAGGAGGGACCCGGAGCCGGGCTCTGGATGTGGGGATGCTGCGCTCTCTGTTAGCCTGCAGCCTTGGACCCGCGCCCCAGACCCCTGCCCTGGGCTCTGCCCCCCGGGCTGAGCTGGGATGTGCCCTGTCAGCGGGGAGAAGCGTCTCCCTCTCCACCGCCGTGCTACGTGAGCTGCCTCGCCACCACAGCAGCACTCTTGTGACCGGGGGTGCGGCATGTTGGTTGCGATGGACCTTGAAACCTGCCTCGCCCGCACATTTTGGGAGGGATGTTCCGGCACCAATGTCATGGGGCAGGACCCCTCCAAGCCCCAGCGATGGCTGTGTCCTGCTGCAACGGTGGTGGCCTGTCCACAGCAGCGCTGAGGTTGTTTCTTTGGCTGTTTCTAAGCAGGGAGATTTGCAGCCATTTCTCAAATCCCATGTTTGCTTGAGCCCTTTCTGGGGATTTTGGATAGGCCCGATAATACCTGGGGCTGCTAAATCCACCACCCCCCGGGTGGTCCTGCAGCTCTAGGCTTTGCATCCCCATGTCCCGTCCCTCCAAACAGATGAGGCTCACTCCAAACTCCTCATCCTCCTGGCTGTGTCCGTCCATCCCCATGCCTCCCGACACCCACGGGAATGCAGCCCTTGCTAACTGTGGCTGTGGTGTCTGCTGTGGGGATGAGGAGCCTGGGGGGAAGGGGGTGGGAGGGCTTTGGTGGCATGTCACCACCCAGTTGAAGGGTGGTAGGAGGGCGGGTGACCTTTTGATCCACGCTCTCCTGGCCCACCAGGCCCCGGTGCTGGGGCATTTGGTCTCTGATCCCTGCCTGCTCTTCGACAGACAAGCTTTGCTTCAACACCTTCTTCAACTACGAAGATATGCAGGAGATCACGAAGCACTTTGTGGTGTGCCACGTGGACGCGCCGGGCCAGCAGGCAGGAGCCTCGCAGTTCCCGCAGGGGTAGGTGCCAACGCCGGGGGCTCGCTGTGCCTGCCGGCACGTCACCTTCCTGCCCACTGCGTTGTTGCTGCCTGGGCAGTTGTGTCCTGCCCAAGCGTCTTTCCAAACCATGTCAAAGCCCATGGCAGCTGACTGGTCCAGAGTGGGCAACGGGGTGGTTTGTGGGTGCGTGGCATTTCCCTGCCCACTTTGGGCAACCCGTTGCATAATCTCTGTCCTGTGCCCCCCCGTGCCACAGGTACCAGTACCCATCCATGGACCAGCTGGCCGCCATGTTACCCAGCGTGGTGCAGCATTTCGGGTGAGTCAGCCTCTCCTCCACAGCTGCTGGCTGAGGGTGCTGGGTAGGGAGGTGGGCGGGAGACGAAGGTCTGGGGCTGGCACCCCGCATGTCTTCTTGTGCCCCGTGCTGTGGGTGGCAGGGTGCCCCAGGGAACCCGTGCTGTAGCCCACCATCCCCCCATATGCACCTCTCCGCTTTCCAGGTTCAAGTACGTGATTGGGATCGGTGTAGGGGCAGGAGCCTACGTGCTGGCCAAGTTTGCGGTGAGCCTGGGGCTGGGATGGGCTGGCCAGGAGTTGCCCCATACCTGCTGTCTGCTTGGGGCATGGGGAAGAGCTGGCGCTGACACTCCGGGGCAGGCTGTGCCACTGTGAAGGCTCCTGGAGGGACAGGGAGGCCGGGACGGCGGTGCCTTGGCCATGGTGGCCAGGCAGTCTTGCCACAGGTCTCCCATCGCTCCCAGGACAGGGCCACATCAGCCCCGTGCAACGCCTGTGCAGTGGGCAGTGGTGCTGGTGGGGGGCTGCCCTGGGCGCATCTCGCCTTCCCGTTGAGCATCGCCCCTCTTGCTCCCTGCAGCTCATCTTCCCTGACCTGGTCGAAGGACTGGTCCTCATGAACATCGACCCCAACGGCAAAGGCTGGATTGACTGGGCAGCTGCCAAGGTGGGCAGGGCCCGGATCGCCCCCCACCACCGGGGCTCTGGTGGCTCTGGGGGCAGGAGCCAGCCGCGGCTCTGCCGCGGCACGGGCAGGCCTGGGGAGGGGGTGTCTTCGCAGCACCTGGCAGCACGTGCCCTGATCTCCGTCCCGTGCCAGCACAGGAGGAGCTGGTGAACAACACGGAGCTGGTGCAGAGTTACCGACAGCAGATTGGCAGTGTGGTGAACCAGTTCAACCTCCAGCTCTTCCTCAACATGTACAACAGGTGAGCACCCCGGGCGGCCCTGCCAGCCAGCCGCCCCCTTGTCTGCGCCGGGGCGAGGGGCTGCGGTGCTGGTGGGGGGGCCCCAGGGGCACAC